CCTTCTCGGATCCGAGCGACTTTGTCATACAGATACTGTGCAAAATCCTCAGCCCTCCCCTCCAGGGGGTCCCCCCCCCTCCAATTGAAGGAGAGAGCGGGTCACCCTGAAGAGGGCGGCCGGGCGATTATCTGATGACGCAATGAGTGAGGCATAGTAGTTAGTCCTAGCCTCCCTCATCGCCACAAGGTAGGATCTAGACACAATATTCCAAGTGTGGTCTTACCAAGGCATTATAGAGGCAGAATGCATTGAACAGAGATCCTTTAAGTCAAGATTTACTATAGAGACATTAGTGTTCAAAAGGCCTGGGTAATTGCTAATAAAAAATCCGAAACGGCACTTCAGGAGTGAATATTCTAACGTACCACAAAGTCCATACATCTTTGAGGCAAAGCTCTTTGGGCTAAGCTGTAACGTGAACTCATTGTTGCTCGGTGTGAAGGCCAGGGTGTGGTTCTGCTGCAGAAACCTGACTTCGTGCATTATTGTCCCGTAGATATTGACTTCCACCTGACTGTTGCTGTAGGGGGGAATAACAGCCATGCCGTTCACGGTCACCTGTTTTGAAAAGCAGGATAAAGAAGTATTAAACCACAGAAATCAAACATGGCAACTTGGAAGCAACAGGAATACGAAGGGCAGCTGAAATCCACCAGTACAGGTAGGCCTCAAGATGGAGCCACCAGTACAGGTAGGCCTCAAGATGGAGCCCAACATTTCTGTGGCCAAGTGAGGTTCAGTGAGTTTCGCCCCATTTTACAACCTTTCTTGTCAGTTATTAAATTAGGAATATGGTTGCTAAGTGAATCTGGCTTCCCCCCCCCTTGACTTTGCTTCCCAGAAGATCACAAGAGAGGACCGCGTGATGCCGGGACGCCGCGGCAGTCATCAATAGGAACCAGTTGCCAAGCATCTGAATGTTGACCACGTGATCCCGGGGATGCTGCAATGATTGTTGAGTGTGAAAAATGGTCAAAAGTCGCTTTTTTTCCCCCGTGCCGTTGTAACTCTGAATGGTCACTAAACCAACTGCTGTAAGTTGAGGACTACAAGAGGATGCCTGGATGGAAAGACGGCTGTCTTGAGTGGCCAAAGGAGGGCAGGTGAGACAAGGCCCCAAAGAGGGGGGAAAAATAAATCTTTTCTGGCGTCGCTGTGGTGCCACGTTTGCAGCACACAGAACCTCTGGAGTGGCTACCACTGTCGAGCACAACCCACCACAATTAAATGGCAATCTGTTCCAAATTACCCTGTTTTTGTCCTGGAATTTGGGTTGTGTCCAGTTCCAGAGCACAGCCTGACAGTCAATTCCTTTTTATATGGAAAGAGGTTCGCTCTTGTGCATAAACAACGATCACAGCAAACCGTGGTTGGGGTCTTTTTAGAACAGGGATCCCCAACCACCAGTCTGTGGATCGTACCAGGCCACGGCATGCCAGCAACCGGTCCGCACAAACAAGCAAAGCCCCATCCGCAGGATGCAGGCAGCACAAAAACCACACACCCTCCGGTCCGTGGAAAAACGTCTCTAGTCCCTGGTGTCCAAAAGGTTGGGGACCTCTGTTTAGAATATGATCTCTCTTTGAATCAGTCTGTACCTCTCTGAAGGAACGACAGCCCTTTAGTGGTCTAAAACAGAGGTCCCCAAACTTTTGAGTTTGGCAGCCCGGAAAGGGAGGCAGGCACTATTATGTGCCCATGCACACATGCAAATGGGCCTCGTGTGAGCGCATGTGCAAACGGGGCAGTGTGAGTGCCACAAATGGGACAGTGCTAGCGTGGTGAGATGTTTGGCACGGGGTGGTGCTAGTGCTGTTGGGACACTTGGTGTGGGGTGGTGCTAGCACCGAGGGACGCTTGCAGAGGTGCTAACGTGAGTGTGGGGGTAAGTGCATGCACACACACGTGTACTGGCCATCCGTTCACGCAGCCCATTGGCTGTGGCCCACAGGTTGGGGACCCCTGGTCTAAAAGGAAGCAGCAGAAGAATTTGGGAACTTCTGAACTTCTTAAGTATCAAAAATAAATCTTGTCTTCCTGATCTCACGGACACAGATGGGACACTGGGAGCTCCCAAAATGCAGATTGGAAACATGGACAGACATTCAAGCCAGGCATGCTGGTTTGTCGAGCGGGATCCTCAGTACCAACATGGTGACTCTTTCCTTTCATTTCACTGACTTCAATTCGGGTGTTTTATTTATTGATTTGATTTTGATCCCACCTTTGTTATTTTTATAAGTAACTCAAGGCAGTGAATATACCTAATACTCGATCTCTATGGAGATTCTCTGTCAATCCAGGTCCTGGTTGTCCCAAACATGCTTTTTTCAGGAGGCAACTGGACTTTCTTTGTTATTTCCTTGAAGACGTTTCGCTTCTCATCCAAGAAGCTTCTTCAACTCTAACTGGATGGTGGGGAATGGAAGGATTTATATTCCTAGTGGACAGCTGGTCATTTGCACCACTCAGGTGACCCTGAGGACACAGGTAAACCTCCAAGTGGCCTCAACAACTCACTAAAAGAAAGCAAATGACCAGCTGTCTACAAGGAGTATAAATCTTTCCCACCATCCAGTCAGAGCTGAAGAAGCTTCTTGGAGGAGAAGCGAAACGTCTTCAAAGAAAAACAAGAAAGTCAAGTTGACTCTTGAAAAAGCACCATTGGGATACCTAGTACTTCCTCCTTCTATTTTCCCCACAACAAAAACCCTGTGAGGTGGGTTTAACTGAGACAGGGACTGGCTCCAAATCACCCAGTTGGCTTTTTAAGGTGGGACTAGAACTCACAACTCTCCTGTTTTCTGGCCTGGCATCCTTCACCACACTGAGCATCAAACTGGTTCTCAATTGAAATGAAATCCCCTGGGCATTTTAGCAATCCGTTCTTTGCTGAATCACCTCTCCTTGGTCCCTCCAAATTAAATCCCTTTTTCTCCCGCCCGTCTCTTACCGTCATGTTGTTATAGAGCTGCAGAGAGAAGCCCTGATGTGTGACCTCAATGGCATTCATGCAGTTGACTTTGGGGGCTGAGCTGCAAGCGCCGTTGTGAAGAATCACTTCAACGCCCTCCTCTTTGTCCTCAAACAAGGTGTAGGAACAGTTGCCCATCAGCTTAAAATCCAGCCCATCGAAGGTGACAATGTGTCTGGTTGAACTTCCCATGCAGGTACCTACAAAGAGGAAGTTGAAAGAGGACCTTCAGAGGACCCTACTTATTTGTTACACGCCCCTCTTCTTTTGCTACACACTTGTAAAGCAACAGGGGAACTTCAGCAATAACAACAACAACAAAACGAATGATGATGACGATGATGATGACGATGACGATGACAATAACAATAACAATAGAGTTGGAAGGGACCTTGGAGGTCTTCTAGTCCAACCCCCTGCTCAAGCAGGAGACCCTATATCATTTCAGACAAGTGGCTGTCCAATCTCTTCTTAAAAAGCTCCAGTGTTGGAGCATTCACAACTTCTGGAGGCAGGTTGTTCCACTGGTTGATTGTTCTAACTGTCAGGAAGTTTCTCCTTAGTTCTAGGTTGCTTCTCTCCTTGATGAGTTTCCATCCGTTGCTTCTTGTCCTGCCTTCAGGCGCTTTGGAGAATAGCTTGACTCCCTCTTCTTTGGGGCCCTATTGGGTTCAACCAAACTGTGTAAATTTTTTCACCGAGGGATGAGTGACGTCTCAAGAACCCTCCTACGACATCCTTCCTACATCCACCACACCTCTGAAGGCAAATTCAATTTAAGCAAAGTTTAAATGTTAAAAAAAAACCAACAACAGAGTATTAAAACTTCTAACACGAACATTTGCAGACCCAAGGAAA